CGGATGGCTTAAGTTCCTCCGTCTCGGGCATTTTCGCTTGGTTATCGACGATTTTCCCACTCCTCAACACGGTGATCGCCTTTGCTTGCTCGGGCTGGCTCGGGAGCTTCCCTTTGTCGGATTCGGTCTCCAAATTTCCAAATCCCGAAGCGAGCTGGCCAATTTGCGTTTCCATACGCTTGATGGTCAATTCTTGGTTGGTCATAAATTGGAGGATCTTATATTATTTGTCGTCTTGGGTGAGCGAGCTAGGACTAACCCCTTGGGTTTGTGTCCCTCCCATAGGGCCCTTTTGTGGTTGTTGTTGTTAAGGGTAGTTTAGTCTCATGTGTTGTTGAGGAATGAAGTTGGGACGGTTCGGTTGTTGTATGAAGTTTTGACGGGGTTGTTGGGTGTTGTTGTTGTTAGACCACGAAAAGTTGGGATGATTTCTCCACCCCGGGTTATATGTATTTGAATAGAGGTCGTTAACTAGCCGATTTTGATATCCTTGGAGAGCGTTGGCATCGGTATATTGCTCTCCGAAGTCTTGGTCAAAGGCGGACGAGCACACCTCGGATCGGTGCCCGTTGATTCCACATGTCCCGCACAGTTCTACCGTCATAGCTTGTACCGGCTGGACGCTTCTCGCATTAAGTAACCTTATTTGCTCCGTGAGCTCGACTATTTGTTGAGATATCTTGTCTTGTCCTGGAGCTATCTCATGAACCATCGCCTTCTTCCCTCGACTACTCTTTTGAGACGAGTTTTCACTCATCGTCTAAAAAATCTCCATCATCTCTTCGGCCGTCTTTGCTCCTATATCACCACCGGCTGCGTTATCTACCATGTACTGAAGATTTTGGTGGAGGGAATCATAGAAGGTGTTCATCAATAGGGCAGGTGGAAAATTGTGATGTGGAAATTGTCTCTGTAAGTCCTTGAAGTGTTCCCACGCCTCGCGGAGTGGTTCGTTCGGTTGTTGGGCGAATGAGACAATTTGTGACCGGAGCTCTTATTTCTTTTGATGGGAATAATATCTTCCGATGAACTTCGAATACACTTGTTCCCAAGTAGTGAGAGAATCGGGAGCAAGTGTCATGAACCACGCCTTTGCTCGATCGTTGAGTGTCTCGGGAAAACATCACATTTTCAGCTGATCCTCATTGAGCCCGTGGAGTGGAAAGGTTTGGAGGACGTTGTAAAATTATCGGATGAAATAGAGCGGGTCTTCATTGGGGAGATCGTGAAAAGATGGGAGTTGATTGTATTGTATCGTTTTAAGCTCATAGTTCCGAGCAGCTGGTCCTAACCGGATGCATGAAGTCACCGGCCCAATCACCGGTTGGGCCAAGACGCGGAGAAGATACCTCGGGAGGTTGTTCACTTCCTCCTCGTCGTTTCGAGCCATTTCGCTTTGATCGTCGGAATTTGATGGTTCGAGAGAAAGGTTGGCAAACAATTCTCGTAAATCCGCGTTAATGGATTTGTCATTCGGAATGAGCACACGACCACTCCTAGTACGCATACAAAAACAACAATACGTTACGAGCACCTGTTAACGATAAAGAGCAAATGAGAAACACCCCGAAAATGCTAACAAATAACAGGAAAAGTAAAACAAGAAACAAAGAGAAACACACAAAAAAAAAAAAAAAAAAATTAATAAATCACAAGAATTAAGCAAAACAAGAAAACAAATGAATAGACGCACAAAATAATTCCTAAACCTTCCCCGGCAACGGCGCTATGTTTGTTGTAGTAATTTTTACTGGAGTAGAATTTAAAGATTCAAACGCCGGGTCGTGTCTCTCAAGGAAAGTTAGTCGGACTATTTTGTACGTTTATTAAATCACAAAAACAAAAACAATCCTACACACTCTAATTCAAATGGTTGGTATAATTTTTACTAATGATTTTTTAACTAGAACAATTTAAATGTCGCAACTTATAAAGAAAATTCAAGGAGATATAATAAAATGATGAAGACAATTCCAAGAGATGTAAATGACTAGGGTATCGGGGATAATCAATTCCAGTTATACTCACATTTAACGGAAATCAATTTACTCGGTTAAATGGTTCGACTAATAACTCATTTAGTGGTTTAACCTCACTAACTCTTGTAATATGTGGATAAGCATAAAAGAGCAAATTAACGAAACGATTAACACATAGACAATACGTCTCCGAACATGTCTACTCTAAACAAACTAAGTTCTATCAATTTCGCCCCTCTCGGTTTTGAAATTAATTATATAGATTAAAATGGTGATCAAACATTTAATAATGAGATTAATAAAACTTGTAAAGATAGAGTAATTGAAATGCACATAAACGACAACGAACCGAAACGAATATCCCCTCACCCTAGCTAGGGGATTAGTTGTTCATAATGATATTATCATGCAAATTCACATTCAAATAAGCCATTCTTAACATAAACAAGATGAAAAGATAACTTACTATTAATGAGAAATCCACAATCCAAGAGCAAATGCAAACTTAATCCAAAATACACACCAATGACTTCAACACTTCTCCAAGAATAATCAATACAAACTCAAAAACTTAGCAAAATATATGGAAGAAAGATGGTGAAAAAGATGGAGAAAATGGTGATAGAAGATGATGATGAAAAGAACATGTTCTTATAGTCTCAAGAGCACATTTCCAGGTAAGTGTTGTCCCAAAGTGCTTCACTGTCCGCCAGCTAAAAGATGCTAGATCTTGAGGAAAAGGAAAAATTGTGCTGTCTGCCAGCCTGGGTTAGTGGCGCTAAGGTGCTGCTGTCTCCAAAAACTCCTCTTTCGATCTTTCGAACTCTCAGCTAGTATCGTTTGAGCAGAAATCTTGACTTCCGCGTATTCGGTCGCACGAACCATATAAGACTTCTTCAAAGTCGGATAAGGAACACGATAACCGGACAATTACTACCTGGAATCGAACTATACGAAAAACACAGAAAAATAAGACTAAAAATAACAAAAATACCAAACACACTTAAAATATCACAAAAACACACGAAACGAATAAATGGACCGGACAACACTAAGAAACAACCTAAAACGGGGGAAACGATCGACAAAATATTAATAAAAATAACAACAAAAATGGAACAAACACTTCACGCCATCTAAAGGAATCGAGATACAAAATTTTTTGGATGTTGCTTCAAGTTTGACGTTTATCATAAAAGGACAGCTGGTCGTTTTTGTTTTAAAACGTCTCAGAACAGCCTTAACGAAATTTCCTACTTTTCCTGCAGTACCTCTGTAACGTTCCCTCGATGACACCTCAACTCTTTTTCCTCATTTATCTAAATTTCTCGAGATGACCAATTGGAAACCCCATATAATTGCAGTGTCTTTTGCCCATTCAACAACTTCATCACAACTCTCAAATAAGTCAGCTGTAGAGAAACATCATCCGTAATCAACACCGTCTCCTCCGAATCTTCGAGTGACCCCTGCAATATATTACCATATATGTTAATAATTTTTATAAAATAATCAATTATAACTTCAAACATAGTAATAATAATTTGTAATTTTTTAACTAATCTGACATAATACTAATAAAATAAGTTTTATAAGATAATTCATTCTAATATATAACTTAATAATTTATACTAATATAATTTTTTATATTATAATTATTTAATTTTATACTAATATTTATAATAATAAATATCCTAAATACTAATATTATACTAATATATACTAATATAGTAGTTAGTATAATTATTAGTATAATTGTGCTAATAGTTATCCTAAATACTAATATATACTGATATAGTAGTATAAATAGAATTTTTAATTATCCTAAATACTAATTTATACTAATATAGTAATTAGTATCATCATTATACTAATTACTGATATAATTTTTAATATATATTATTATAAATTATATTAGTATATAAATTTAATTTTAATAAACATTAATATTTAATTTATTTATTAAAATTTATTATTAAATATTAATATTTAAGTACTATTACAAAATATTAAATATAAATTTATTATTAACTTTTTTAATTACTTTTAAAAAAAAATTTAAATAAAAAAACAAAAAAAAGGGGGCCGCGCGCGACACAGAATGGACCGGCCGTCCGCCCGAGGCCGCGCGCGGCTCGGAGAACAAAAGAACGGCCGCGAATAGTGGTCGCATGGGCACCGACCGCAGCCAAAAAATGCAGCCGAACGAGAGTAGGCCGCAATAGGCGGCCGTCTCAACAATAATGGGCCGCAATCGCCGGCCGACAGGTTCGACTGCGGCTGCAGTCGCCGGCAGACGGCCAGATTTTTGTTTTTTTTTTTTAATTCGTTAAAATTGTAAAATAATTACTTATGAATTGGAGAACCCTTTCTCGGTGCTTGAGGATTGTCCCGCCATTTTTTTTTTAAATTTTTTTGGTATTTTTTCAAATTTTTTCGGATTTATTTTGATTTTTTTTCAAATTTTTCAGTTTTTTTTTTCAGATT